ACAAACACGTAAAATATGTTTTTTTTTTTGGGTAACCTTATGCCATCAAATTTGTTGATTATGGATGTAAAACTTAGCAATAATATCTAAACCTTAACAATGCACATTAAATGTTTTACAAAAAAATATGCATAGGCTAGAGTTAAATGATTCAATTCATTGATTCGTCATGGGCCACATGGCTTTTCCTCTTCCAGCAATAAGATGTCCTCTACATTGTCAATTTCATAGAATAATTTCATAGATGAGGTTCCACTTGAATTTTTTCGCTTGTTTCTACATAAGATATTTGAGAGGTATCACCTAACTGTTTGAATTTAAACAAAACCGACCAGATTTCGTGTATTAAGATTTTTTTATAACAAAATTATGATTGTTTGTCTCTTCTTTAGGTGGAGCGCTTGGTTTTTTCCTTCTTTAGCCCTAATTGTTTGGGTTGGATATCGGATCTTCCGTACGAAATTGTAGATGTCTTACATAAAATTTTGGAGTCCCATATGTGAATAGTCGTAGAGCTCCAGATAGAAGTTTTATCTTCTTGAAGGATGAGAGACGCGTCTGCCTAAACGACCCTCTCTAGTGAGACAACCACAATGATCATTTGGATATGCGTAGCACCCATACATAGGTAATAATAACGAGGAATATTTTTGATAGATTCTTTTGAAAACTCTCTAACGCCTAAGTTAGTCTACCACTGGAGAGTAAATTATTTCATGAAGTTAGTGTAGATTATGTTAGTGTAGTGGAGATCATGATCTCCCTCCAGTATCCTGAAATGGATGAGAAGAGAAGAGGGGTAGAGTTTCGTGGAAGAGTGGGGTTGGAATTCCCTTCCTAAGTATTGTTTTGCGTGAGGATACTTCTGAAGAAATATCTCATTGTTGTCATCTTTTATTAAGTGTTATCTCCTTATTCTTGTGTCCGTTTTCTCTTCCATCTATCTCTCTGTTGGAGATCCTCTACATCTTTAGCTCAATCCCCCTTAAGCAATATGTTCCTTTTTGCAAATTTCTTCTTCTCTAGCTTAAGAATCTTCTCATGAATTGTCGTTGCTTCCGCATTAAAACTTCTTTGTTAGCATAACATCGAGTTCATGTTCCACCTCATCCTCCTCACCCTCTGTTTCCATATTGTCGCTCCTGGCTCGAATGACTTTTAACCATAGTCATGAAGCTTGACACCATAGTTTTCACCAACTRATCTAGYTCCTCCAYCATTCGTTCCACCGTTTTGTCASYGYAATCTTCGTCGACGGCTGAGTTTCGTGTATCTTTGACGGATCCTTTAGCTCTTACTCTCCCTACGTACTCTCGTCCACAAAGCAGAGCCCGAGACCTCGGAATCCAGTATTTCCTCCACATCGATTAACTGTTTCTCACCAACCAGCTTTGCAACCTGTTGTTGAACTGGATCAACCTTAGCATCAGATGTTGCAATTTGTTGCTCTACCACATTCGTATTTCCCATTCCATATCCACTGCTTGTGGCTACTTCTCTCTTGCCTATGTTAGGTTGTTGTTCAATTCTCCGACAAAATTGTGGTCCATCTCCCTTATACCTACCTTAGTCTTTAGCTCGTCTTTTGTTGTATTTATAGATAAAATGATACAAAAAAAAGATATACATACGTTGAAACCATTCTTTGTTTGTTTTTAGATATCAAACCTTAAAATCGATTTTTTGTGTTTTTTAAAGGAGAAAGTTTCAAAAGTCTTTGCTTTGTATTAATTTATTAATGCTAAGACTATAAAGCATAAACTCAAGTCCACATATGTCTCAAACTTTAATCCTTAAAAAAAATAAACGAATAATTTTTAAAATACCATTAAAAGTTTATTGTTCTAAAAATACCATTAAAAATTTTGGTTTTCCAAAAACACTACAAACACAAAAAATGATTTTTGAGGG